CCCTGGGGCGTGGCCCCGCCGCCCCCCCCCGCGCCGCGTCCCCCCCCCCGTGGGCGGCCGCCGCAGACGTCACGGTGTCACCTGGGTGGTCGGTCAAGTCGGACGGTGAAGCGTCTGGGTCCGTGGGGGTTTTGGCGGCGAGGTCACCGGGCTGCGACATGGCAGAGCTGCAAGACAAGAAGGAAACAGGAAATCAACATAAGCAGGTGTAGCAGGCAGACTTTGGCTGTCGGAGCACTGACCTGTACATGGACTCCCCCAGTGGCCGACTGGTGTCAAAGCAGTCAGGGAGGATGATGATGTAATCCTCAGAAGAGGTGGAAGAGGAGCGACTCCTCGTCCCTTCTCTTTTTTCCTCACCCTCCTTCTCCTTGTCCTTCTCGGGTTTTTTCCCACCATCCTTTGCTCTGGTCTCCCCACCGATGCTCTGAACTGTCATGGCTGTCATGTGATCAGAGAAACAAAGTGAAGTTAAAGGAGGGGAACACGACTCGAGTCTCAGACCTGCAGAAATGTCATTGGTTCTGCGCCTCGAGAGTTTCAGGTTCAAAATGTTTGTCCAAATGTTCTGACCCGTGGTTAGGGTCTGTAAAATGGCGTTCTTGCGGTCACCTGTTGCTGTGGACGACCTCACTGAAGGGTGCAGCAGAGTTGGTGCAGAGTTAGGGCCGGGACCCGCGGTCAGAGCCACAGACATGGGAGCGGGCAGAGAGGCTTTCAGCGGAGAAGGGAGCGAGGCCTTCAACGTGGCGGGTGGTTTGAGGGCGTGGTTTGAGCTGTCAGGGTCACAGTCGGGCGTCTCTGCTCCTTTCATAGTCTTAGTTTTCACACAGGGGGAGGAGGAAGACGAGGAGGAGGAAGAGGCGGAGCTGCCCTGAGCAGCAGGGTGACCGACTGAGAGGTAACAGAAGAAGAAGAAGAAGGAGACAAACTGTTAGCTCATCTCTGAAATGAACACATCAGTCCACGAGCTTCCATGAAGTAATACACTGCTGACCCCATTACCCATAATGCTGTTGATGGCTTCGGTCTCTTCTTGGATCAAACCTAAGGGAGGACTGCTCTTTTCCTGCAGGGGGCCATCTTGAGGCAGAGGGGAAATGCATGGAGTTATGTCTGAAAAATGGATGAAGAGAGTTCAAGTTTCACCCTACACAGTACTACACAGTACTACACAGTACTACACAGTACTACAATCCACAGTACTAAGGTCTGAAGCACTCATAAAAAGTGTCTTTCAAAAAGTTACCAGCGGGGGTGTTGTTCGGGACACTCTCCAGTTCTTGGACGATGTTGATGTCCAGCAACTCAAAGGACAGAAGGTCCTAGAACATTAAAGGAAAGCAGCCATCGTTACCCGTGAGGTCGTTGTTGTTTTTTTTTACACAGTCCAAAGTCATGAAATGAATAAACAAGTGAGAGACATTGTCCTCCAACCTCATCGTTGTTCTGTTCAGACGACTGTACCTGAGCCGTGAGCAGGTCCACAGACGGGATGTAGTACTCCTCCTGGTCCACCGACATTAAAGTCTGCTCCTGGGACGTTGCACAGGTTTTCCCGTCCTTGGCTGCTGGGTTCTTACCCTGGAAAAAAACAAAGTGACCCCCAAAATATTTATATATATGAAATATCCAATATTAACTTATTAACACTTTTCAAAACAATTTCTGATTCTGTTATCGATCAATACTGATATAGCAGGGCAGTGTTTTCAGGTTTTCATCATCGGAGGAAAAAACTTAATAAATATTCTTACTGTTATTACAGAATCACGCTAACATCGGGTCGATAATATCGGTCATATAACCTTCATTATATTTCTTATTCTTCCCTTCTACCTGTGGAGTGACACACGGTGAAACCAGTATCCCATCAGCCATCACTGGTGCTGGAGCCAGAGGGTCGACCACGATGCTGCACCACACCCTCGGTCCAAACTGTTCTCCAGAATGAGCCAGGCGCCAGTGGGAGGTGTAGGAGCCTTCGACCGCAGGAGCACACAGCGCTACACTCACTATCCCCACCTGGACACACACGGACAACCCGGGGGGCGGGGGGGCATTCATGGTCCGCTATTTGTTTTATTATTATTATTATAATTCTGCTTCTGTCAGTCTCACCTGTCCAGGCTGAAGGAAAGGAACAGAGACTTCTCTCCAACGGTCTCCAGATCCGACGGCCAGGTTTCCCCACATGAACTTTAGCTGTGAGAAAACCAAAGACCTTTAGACTTCCTACAGCAGGAACCTCCTCACGCTGCAAGGTAGGACCAGATGTGTTAGCTCAAGAAAGGATCCGTCTTTACCTTGGTTTCAGCATTCCAGCTCATTGTTCCCGTGTTCCTCATCTTCCAGTACTTAATGAACTTGGTCCCAGGGCGGAGCCGGGTTCCATCGGGAAGGTTCTCATCCAGAAATGCAGCCGTCATGGTTGGAACCACAAGAGGACAGGGTCGTTTTGGACGCCTGGATGTGAAAAAAAAAAATTGTTTTTTTTTACCACCTACGTTCACTATTTTTAAATCTTCATTTATATCATGAGATATTTTTTACTCTGGGCTGTTGTGCTGCGAAGCTCGAGGCTGCAGCAGGACGGGGGAGGAGCTTCCTTCTCTGTGGGAGGAGCTCCACTGTATCCCTCGCCGCTCCATTCTCAGCTGCTTGCGAATCTCCTTGACCTCCGCCTTCAGAAGACGTTTCTCCGCTTTCAGCCGCTGCTTCTCCGCCTTTCGGAAACTGCGGTCACCTCGCCTGTAAAACCTAAATCGAACGCGAGGCGGGCGTGGATGTGAGTGACAGTGAACCACGTTACATCGTTGTTTTTTTCTGACTCTTTCTCACGAGAACCATGCTGTGACAGTTTCATACTTGCTGTGGTCAGGAGCGGGTGATCCGTGTTCAGGAATAGACAGAGGCGTCCGGGCTCTCACCAGGTTGTGACTGGGATCGTGAGAAAAACTGCAGGGCTCACACAGGGTGCAGGAAGTGCACACACTGAGGAGACACAGGAAATAAAAAAAATAAAAAAATGAGCCTGATGGCGATCACAAAATAAAAGAACTTTGTAAGATGACAGAATTACACTTTTACATCAAAATAATACAGCTGGAAAAATGCAAAAAAAAAAGGATTTAGAAGTCTTTTGCTTTTAAATACTGTATATTTAGGGCTAAATAAAAAAGGGACCAAAAGAATCATATGTTTTACCGACTAACCTGCACTGATAGCCTCCTCCGGTGGTCTGCCCCCTGCAGGAGGAGCAGGGAGGAGTGGAGGAGGAAGGTGCTCCAGGCAGAGTGGAGGACACCTCAGGGACCTGCTGCCCCTCTCCTCCACCTACAGCTTCTCCTCTACCTCCCCCAGCTCCACCTGCAGCCCCTCCTCCTCCTCCTCCCAGGGGCTTGTGGATGCAGCACTGACCGGAGAACTCCCTGCAGATCTTCTCCACCGCCTCACGCACCACCTGGTCCTTAAACTGCAGAGGTGGAGATTTAGAATCAGTCCATGTCCGGCGTCTACAGACCGTAAGAGCTCGGAGCAGCGTCGTACCTTCTCCATGTAGGAGGTGAACCACGCTGGAGGAGTCTTATCTTCTTCCTTGGTCCCTTTCATCTCCTTCATTATCACCTGCACGACAACACAGTGAGAAGATTAATGATGTGAAATAACAATTACTAATCAATAACATTGACGATGGTGACGTTTCTATGGACCAGGAGAAACATAAGGGCGCCCCCTTTAGGAACATCATTTTGGGTTCTAAGGTGTGTTTAGAACACAACATAAGGGCGCCCCCTTTAGGAACATTATTTTGGGTTCTAAGGGGCGTGTGTTTGTCGTACCATGCCCTGCTCCGGCACTGCTGCCTGGACCTTGCGACTGACGACCTGGGCCAACGTGGGGCAGTGCTGCGGGGGTCTGAACCCTCGCTTTGGCTCAGCTCCACTGGCCTTGCTGCTGGGGATCTTGGTCGGCTGTCCTCGGGTCTCGTAGACGTTCATGTGCAGCCGGTTACCCTGCCGTGCTGCACTCTGGGAAAAACACAGAATGGGTCATATTTTATTTTTTCTGCTGTCACATTTGGTGTCAACATCGTCAACCTTCAACCTGTTCATCACCATCTGAAATGGTCTGTGAACTTCACCAACTGAACCATGGCTACGTAGGGACCTGACAGTGGGTCACCACCAACATTTTTAGGCGGATACTGCCACCTACTGTACTAAAGTGTGTACTTTTTCAGCCCACTCTTTTAACGCCTTGATGGGTGATTTATTTTTTATTTTAAGCAATACAAATTGTCACGTATTTGTATCTCTAGTAGACACTGGACCAAGTCCTGAGGTAGACCGTGCTGGTTGGCTTAGAGCTTTTAGAATTTTGTAGACCAGACACTTATGTTGTTAGCAGCGCCATCATGGGAATGTACGGCAGTGATTTCAATTTTCACTTTTCCCTCAGCAGCTGCCTGACCACGCTGACCAGTTTTTCCAGTGTTTCCTGTACACATGTGTATGAGTGTGACTGTAACGCCGCCTGACGTTACCTTCAGGGCCTCCTCATACTCCGCTGGAACACAAACACAAACAGAGTGTTCTCATCAGGTTACAGTCACAGCTGATGTTTCATCTTCATCTATGTTTTTTTTTCTATCAAACCAATGTGGTGGACATGTCCTTACCTTGACTGTTTATGGAAACCTGGAGAAGAAGAGAAGATTTATCGTCAGTTCGTCGTTCAGTCTCGCCGTTACATGTGCATACATCACTGAAAGCCATAATGAATGAATCAAATTATCAATTTAAAAACTTCACCTCTTCATTTTCTTCGTCAAAATAAGTTAGTTGAAGGCTGCACAGGCCAAAGGAGCGCTTCACCTGCACATACACACAGACAGGAATTTCATGAATGCCATGAATCATTTTAAAAAACAAATTCTCCACCTCCTCCTGATTCACTCTAATCCGTCTGTTACTGCTATGAATGATAAAGCAATCAGTGATAAGTTACCAATGATGCTAATTAAAGAAAATAAAAAAAACACACACTAACATCTATCTGATTGGAAAAGCAGAGACTGGGAGTGAGATGTGACCAGTGACTGACTCAGCAGCACTCAGATAATGAAACCAGTCCTGTGACTGCAGCAGTTCACAGAGTGGCCTGTAGGCTTCGTCTCAGGATGTCCAGTGTCTGTTACATCCTCTCTGAGAAAATAAAAAAATAATCTATAGGTTTTGGCCTTTCATTCAGTTATTAACAGTTGGAAATGGAATTCAATTTTTTCATTGTATGCTACTGGATGAAAACAACGCGTTCTTGGGACAGTAACGTTCCACTGAGCATCAGCGCCTTTTCTTTACATCAGTGTCTGCAAAACTTCCACTGAGCATCAGCGCCTTTTCTTTTTCCTTTTCATCAGTGTCTGCAAAAGTATTTACGAAATGGGATTTTCTGTCAGTTACTCTGATTTTCCTTTTTGCCCTTTAATTATGTTTCATTTAATTTATATACTATGTGTCTGTAAAATTAGAATTCGAGCTCATTCTACTCAAAAGGACACACACGCTTTTGTTATTCCTGCAGAAGGATGTGTGACCTGACCTACAGTCGTACTGTACCTACAGTGTCACTACAGTTGTACATAATCATTGTACTTGTAGTTCATAAAAAAATTGAAAGATTTAAACGTCAAATGTGTCTTTATTCAACTTAAAAATGAATTATATTTAATCTAACACACTGTATTAGACTTGAATTATGGCGAAGATCGCGATTTATGTCATTCTAACCGCTGTTTCTATGACAACCGATCAAATTATATTTATTATTATGGGTTTTCATTTTCATACTAATAATAATACGTGTATTAATGACGGTGTTGATAAACCTATAATAGTAATGAAATGATGTCTTCGCGGTTCCCTGTTGGGATTTTCACAGCTTAACTGCAGGTAACAGGAGCCGAGCAGCATCATGGGTAATGCTGCTAATCTGTGACTGACGTTCGTCTGCTTCATAGACGGTAACCGTGACTGTAATCTGGAGGTGAAGAACCATTAAAAATAACAAATACCATCGCTGTGTACATGTGTTTATGTGTGAGCGAGGCAGAAGAGGCGGCAGCCTCCGTGACTCCTACCGTGGCCTCCACCGACTCCCAGCTCTTGGTTTCGGATCCCGACAGGAGGAAATTTTTGGAATTTCCCCTGAAATTCACCTTTAAATTGATATAAAAATCCATTGCTAATCTTTACTGCATAACTTAGAAGACGGATAAGAGGCGTTTTCTCTTCGGTAAAATTCCGTCCACCGTGACTCTCACGGACGGACGTTGAAGTGTAGTCGTGTTTACATCAGCACAATGGCCACGCCCCATTCTGAACCACGTGTTCCGAACCAAACGTCACTTCCGTTTTTTAATGGCCTTCTTTTATTGATCTTTTATTAATCCAGCTTTTATTAATCCAGCTAAATTTGCAATTAGTGAAAAAGTCTAGTTAATTTGTAAACATTAAAAAATTATTCTGTTTTTTTAAATGAAACATTCAAACCTTCGTTTTCGTCTTTACAGTATCGGAAACGTAAATGAGTGAGACGTCACGTGAATTAGAAATGAGAGGATATTATTTATGAAGCATATTCTTTACATACAGAAAAAAAAAATCTTTTATATCAGTGTGAAGAAAACCATTTCACACACAAACCCACATGGAACAGGAAGTTACCCCAAACACAGTATTTAAAAAACAAAACAAAAACCAGATATTGTACAAGAATAATTTGTTTGTTTACTCCCCGTGTGTCCACATCTGATTTATCTGTCTTTAGTGGAGCATTAAAAACTATTTAATCACTTTAAGGTGTAAGGTAGCTGAAATGAAATGAGAGTTAACTTTTGAACTTTTGAACAGCCATTATAATAAAGTGAGGTGGAGGTGAGGTCCATTATAATAAAGTGAGGTGGAGGTGATAGGTACGGAAAGAAGGTGGGCTTGACTGAGTAAATACCCCCCTCAGGGCTTTAACAAACTCTCGGTGTCAATCTGTTTCAATAATCCTCCTTGATGAAGAGGTGGAACGTCTTCAAGGAACTAAACCAGTTGAGTTGTAACTGCCTCAGATCTGTTAATTGCACATGTGGAATGTGACACCTTGACAGACAGTAATTCTACTATAACCACACCTTATTGCCGGGTAACATCAAAGCTCAGTGTCCCCTTGGAATTCACAAGGCTGGAGGTTTGATGGCGCCAGTAAACAGTTCAATTCGGTGTCTGTAGTGTAACGTTCAAAAACGGAGCAGAGCAGCTGCCGTTGTAGCACTCTGTCTCAGAGAGTGAAGGTCGTGACCTTCAAGGTGAGAGTACAGGATGTTCTGTCGGGTCTTCTGGCTTCTCATCCTTGTCAACAATAGTTTCTAAATGACTCACTGTAGCAGTAACACAGTTAGCACGTGTGAAGGATAATAGCTCAGAATTGAGCAAAAAGTCCAATTAAACCCCCCTGTCCTGCAGCGAGCACGTGGTGAAGGGATCTCTAATACACCCCAGTACTGCGCACATTCTCGACATACTGCACTAAATGATAGCAGTAACCTTTTTTTACACAGTCGCAGGACTTGCTGGACTGCTGTGTGTGTGTGTGTGTGTGTGTGTGCGTGGGTGCACTGATGTTACTCAGCGTGGAACCGAGCAGAACGACAGACATGGAGAACAAAGTGGAGAAGAGAGAACAATGGAGAAAGAAGAGGGAATATATCTTAGCCTCAGCGGGAAACGTGGTGGGTTTTGGCAACGTGTGGAGATTTCCTTACCTGTGCTATAAGAACGGAGGAGGTGAGCTGGGCTCATTATTATTATTATTATTATTATTATTATTATTATTATTATTATTATTATTATTATTATTATTATTGTTATTATTATTATTATTATTATAATTTTAACTACTTTTTCACATTTATTCTTTAAAACCATATTTTCTCTGTCTGACTTTGCAGAGCATCCTGCTGCAGAAAAACAAAAAATATATGATACTTTAATAATATTATTGATACTAACAACACTGAGTTAATTTGTAAGCCAAAGTATAAAGTATATTTTTACTACTACTACTATTACTATTACTGCTAATAATAAGCACTAAATTATTATTATTATTATTATTATTATTATTATTATTATTATTATTATTATTATTATTACTTAAAGATTTTTTATCTAGGGATTAGACTGGTAGTCAAGCCGCGGGCCACCCAAAGGTTCCCAGAGCTCAGGATGTGTTGCATCAGCAAAAGTGTCCGCTGTAAAAACCACCAAATTACTGTGTGGTCGGAGTTCTACGGCTGATGTTAAGGAACGATTTAGGAGTGATTTAGAGTTATGTTATAATACTTACAATTTATATCGACACAGTCACCTGAACTGTCGATGTGAGGAGGCGAAACGTCAGGGTCTCAGAAGAACATCCTGTTACGACAGAGTTGCTCACAAGACAAGCAGGTTTTTTTGGACTTCTTTGTTTTAATGACAGGTGTAAACTACAGGAAGTAACAGCAGCGTGGTGCAAATAAAACACTGTACTGTATTGTTTTTACACGTGAGCCTCCTTTAACGAATAACTTTAAATCATTTTGAAGGTTAAAACATATTCTGATCAAATGGACGATCAAACAGCTCAACACTGGATACTGTTTTGAACTGGTCAAACTGTGTTGGAGAGACAGAAACCAGTCTGAACTGGTTTTAACTCATCTGTCTGAGAACTTTTTGACTGACCCTGTCTGAAGTTCATTTCCGTGTATGTACTGTTTTCAGGCGTCTTCCTCGTGCCGTACCTTTTCTTTGCCATAATGTTGGGTATTCCCATGTTCCTGCTGGAAACTCTGATTGGCCAGTACACACAGGAGGGCGCCATCTCCTGCTGGACCAAGATATGTCCTCTAGCCAAAGGTACTAAGGCTTTGTCCAAATATTTTCATCATCACTGATGATGAAGATGATGATGATGCCAATCACACACCCATACAGAGACCATAGTTATACTTTTATCTAGCCGTTATTGTAAGATTAAAAAATGTTGCGTTTTGTTTAGCGTTACTCAGTTAGCCAAATGTTTCGGTTTAAAAAATGTTGCGTTTTGTTTAGCGTCAAATGTTTCGGCCCACAGGAACAGGCTACGCCATCATTGTGATCCAGCTGTACTCCAGGATCTACATCATGATCTTGGCCTGGTCCCTCCTTTATCTGCTCTACTGTTTCAGGAGCACTCTACCGTGGGCCTCCTGTGACAACCCCTGGAACACAGGTCAGCAGGGTCATGACTCCTGGGGGCCACAAGGGGACCACTCCCCAGATCTTTATTTCAATATCAATCTTTACTTCATGGGGATGAATATTTGACGAGGACGTTTTCTCATCATCAGACAGATGTTTCGACCTCAGCCCTGCAAACTGGACAGAAATACACGCTAGTAACCAGACCTTCAACCTGACGTCTGTACCACTCACCAGGTCTTCAGCCTCAGAGTTCTGGGAGTGAGTTGAGGGTTGTTGTTGTTTTGTTTTTTTTTAAAATTTCTTATTTATTAGTTATTAGAGACAGAAATGAACGTGTTTCTGCTGCTTCTTTCAGGAGAGGGGTTCTGTCCATGTCCTCAGGGATACATGAGCTCGGGTCAGTCAACTGGCAGCTGCTGCTATGTCTGCTGGCCTCCTGGACCGCCTGTTACTTCTGCGTCTGGAAAGGCGTTCGCTCCACAGGGAAGGTCCGTTGACAGAAGCCAAAAAGAAAAAAACAATATTATTAATTATTAATAAATTATTCACATTTAAAAATCCGCATACGATAGATAGCAAGCACTTTCTGGACTTATAGTCAGCCAGCCACTAGGGGGCCACCGAAAGCTGCCTAATTAGGAAGTCTATACTGTTTAATGAGAGAGTGAGACGTAATGTCGGCAGCGGAAGGTGACGGTATCGCGGTATTTGGAGATGAGGGGGAGCTATTGTTGACCAAACATAAATTATACGTGCAGTAGAGTTGTGTCTGCTCCCCACTGCAACACAATGCAATCGTTAAACACCTGAAAAATACCACAAACTCAAATACGATGAGTGCGTGAAGGCTAAAGCTAACGCTCTGCTAAATCCCCGTCCGTGCCCAGCAACTAAGACAACTATGGCGGCAACCCTGTACCGGACGAGGCCGAATCCATTCACCTGTCAAACGCTGAAATAAGTACAGTTTGTAGAGTTTAATTTGGCTAAAAACGTGTCCTGTAAATACTTTTAGCAACGAAACTACACGGAACTAAACACAACAGGAATAGGCGTTGCTGCCCCTTGTTGGTAGTCAGTGGTAGTAATATTTATATTTCGTTAACATTTCTCGTGGGTAAATTTTATTTAAAAAAATGTATAATTTATTTTATTTTAGTTTCATTTTAAACCTTGAAAGCCCTGTTCAAATACTGTTTGTTTTTAACAGAAACGCAATAAAAAAAAACGTTATACCTAAGAGAATGAATAATCGTGATTAAAAATCGTGATTTCAGCATCGATAAAATAATCACGATTTTTGGATATTTTTGTACAGCCTTTTACTTACTAATTATTAATTCCAGGTACAGGAGCTCCTACCACTGTAGTAGTGCAGTAGTAAATACATGTTCGATATTTCAGGCGGTGTACGTCACCGCGGTGTTTCCTTACATCATGCTGGCCATCCTGCTGATCAGAGGGTTGACGCTGCCAGGAGCCTGGCAGGGCGTAGTCTTCTACCTGTATCCAGATCCTTCTCGCCTGGCCGACGTTACGGTGAGACATATGGCTGTGTTTTATGTTTATTTGAGGTTAAAGTTGTAATCGACCAATCATCTCTTTCCTGATGAGACACAAACTCTTGGTTGCAGTTTTCTTATTTGAGTTGTTGGTATTTTTCAGTTCTGTGTTGAAATGAACAATTTCAAATAATTATTATTGCAATACAAATATATTCTTTCGGTTTAAGTACTGAAAGAGTTCAGCACTGTGTACTAACCCAGATGGTATAGTTGAAATGCAGCCCCTAACTCTTACAGAGTCATCCTAGTGAAAGGTCACCTGGGTCACATGTCTTTTGTTGTCTTTTTTTAATTTTTTTTTTATATCCAGGTGTGGATGGAAGCCTGTGCCCAGGTCGTCTTCTCCTATGGCATTGCTTCAGGGACTTTAATCACGATGGGCAGCTACAACAAATTCAAAAACAACTGTTACAAGTAAGTACCTGTTACAGGGTTCGACAAAATGTTGTGATATGAGTTGTGATACCTTTAACAATTAAACAAAGAAGGTTCAAATGAGAAAAAAGGTACATAAAAAAACAACAAGCACTGGAAATATCTCAAACCTTTACAGCGGAACATGGGCAAGCTATGGCCTGTGGGCTCTAATCCGGCCCATGAGGTCTAGTACATGGCATGGTAAAAACTGATGTCAATCCTCCTGTCATGCATTACAACTGTAATTTCTGTTAATGCCACTAGATGGCATTCTACAGGCAGGAAACTAATTGTTTTCTTCAACCTTTGTTTGAGTTGTTTTGTCCATTAAAAGGAATGTGTTCACGTGTGTCACATGTAACTGAGAAGAACAAGCTGTGTGTGTGTGTGTGTGTCTACAGGGATAGCCTGTGGTTGTGTGCACTCAACAGTGGGACCAGCTTCGTCGCCGGCTTCGCCGTCTTCTCAACCCTGGGTTTCATGGCGAAGACCCAGGGAATCCCCATCAACATGGTGGTCGACTCAGGTAAACAGTTTAATCATATTTACACATCATTATCACATTCACCTTTAGTAAAAAAAAAAGCAACCTGTGGCTCCTGAGCCCAAATGAACCTGTTCTTGACTGACTGTTCTTCATATATAAGTCAAACTACATTTGCAGCTCTCTTGCTAATGGCAAAGCAACATAATATCACTGTCCTCTTCAACTGAGATCAGGTGTGAAACTCCAGGCCACTGCAGATTGTCAAGTGAATGTGTCTCATCTGTCATGTTTGTGGGGTTTCTCCTGTCCAATCAGGACCAGGCCTGGCCTTCATTGCCTTTCCTCAGGCTGTGGCCATGATGCCTGTGCCTCAGTTGTGGGCTGTCTGCTTCTTCATCATGCTCATTATGTTGGGCCTGGATACAGTGGTGAGAAACTGGTGGTTTTTCATTCAAATCATGTGACCTACCAACGTTGTTAATAAATAAATCTTGAATCTCTGGTTTTACAATGTCTGACATTTTTCATGTCTGTACAGAAAGACTTTTGTTTAATAAATCTTGAATCTCTGGTTTTACAACGTCTTTACAGAAAGACTTTTCTCCTTCTTTGTTAGTTTTCAGGTTTGGAGACGATAACGTCGGCGGTGATCGACTTGTTCCCGGGAATACTGCGCCGACCCGGACGCAGAGAAATTTTCCTCGTCATCTTCTGCTCTCTGTTCTTCCTCATACAGATCGTTTTCACATGTCAGGTATCAGACGACAAAACAACAAAACCTCTGGTGCAACAGGTTTAAGATTCAAGTTTGGTTAAAAATGTGACGGTTGGTCTGATTTCGAAACGCTTCATTTCTGAGGGTTACATAAAAATCCGATCACAGATGTGATGGTCAAAGCTGTTGGAGACACAGAGACCAGTCTGAACTGGTTTTAGTCAGTCAATACCAGACAACTGCAGACATCAACTCATCTGTCTGAGAACTTTTTGACTCTGTTTTCTTTTCTTTTTGCCCAGGGTGGAGTCTATCACTTCCAGCTGATTGACTACTACGGTGCCAATGGAGCCTGTATTTTATTTGTGTCTCTGGTTCAGTGTGTGGCTGCTGGGTGGGCTTTTGGTAAGTGATGTCAGAGTTGCAAACCTGTGGAGGTGTTCTCCTGAGAATTGATGATAAAACGTGTTTCCTTACATGAACATATTGTCACTTGGCCTCCACCTAGTGGCAGAGCCTGATCTATGCAGCGGGAGAAGTATTACATTATTTTAAAAGTTATTTGGTTAGTAATTGTAACTTTTCCACGGCACACTAGTGGGTCACGGGACAGTGGTTGGGAGTCACTGCTGTAAAATAACCCTCTTGTGATGACACAGGCTCCGACAGGCTGTGTGACGCCCTGGCAGAGATGACGGGTCAGAGGCCGTTTGTCCTGTTCAGACTGTGCTGGCGTTTCATCACTCCCATCATCTGCCTGGTATTTAACGTTTAACGTTTGAAAAAAAAACTGTTGGTGAGAATGTCTTTGGATCCTGATCAATTACGATGTTTTTGTCTCGATGTCTTCCTCCAGGTTTGTTTCATCTGCTTTTTCCTGGACTCTCAGACCTTGAAAATTGGTGACTACTTGTACCCACAGTGGGCGTACTATGCGGGCTGGGCTATGGCTCTCTCCTCTCCAATACTCATACCCATCTGGGCTGTGACCAAGATCTGCCTCACTGAAGGCTCCATCAGACAGGTATCGTTCTGCTCCAACATGAGTCCAAACATGTTGCCTTTCCTTTTATTTTTAATATGTTTTGAGTATTTAAGGAAAACTACCGCCCTCTGCTGGCACATATTAATCACTGCTATGTTTTTACATTAATATATATATATTTTTTGTTCTGAATTTTCATATCAAAAACGTTTTTGTCTGTTTTGGTTGATTGATTGTTAGTTGTTCCTACAGAGTTTCAGTCCGTTCTGGGCCTGAAGTGATCCTAACTCTCAGATTTCTTTTTTCTTTCTGCATTCGGACGAGTTTTTGCCAATGGCCGGTGACATTTCCTGGTGTTTTGGGTCCTTGTTTTCCGTTTCCAGTAACTGAGTCCCTTCTGTCCTCCACAGCGTCTGTCCAACCTGTGGCGTCCACCTGCAGACTCAGCCGATCCTGCGAGGGATGACCTGGAGATCCAGGTGAAATCAACGTCATTTCCTGACTCAGCTAACATCCTGTTGGACCCCTACCACAAGACAACAGTGTGAAATGCATTTTACGGTATATATTCTCTTATTTGTTGGCAGCAGAGTTTTTATTTTTTTAGATTTTTCTACTTTACATCAAATGTGGTCGTTGGTTTGATTATTTTTCATTTATTTTCATTGGGGTTGGGCATAAAAGAGATTAAACTCCAATTTATTTTTTTCAAATGTGGTTTTATTCTGGGAAGTGTTCTGGGAGGAATCTGAATGACCGGGAGGGAAAGGAACAAGATATAAAGCAGTTTAAAACCAGGGGAAATGAGAGAAGAGGCCGGTGGATTTGGAGGTCAAGGGTTAAATCCTGGGTGTGTGCTCCTGGGTAGAAGAGAGGAGGAAAAATGGGAATCCACATATGTTTTTGGTTTGCATTAAAGCTTGGGTGTAGGTAACTCGTAATGAACTATCAGTGGGCGGAGCTACGGCTGTGTAGGTTGTGAGTGAGTCGAACGAAACCGTATCCTATTTCACAGTTAATTCAACTCTAAACAGGAATTTCTGGTAAACGAACCAAATCCTGTCTATAATGGTTGTTCACACCAGAAAGTAAATAAACCTTTTGGAAGTATTTGATTTTAACTCTTTTCAAAGCCTTTTTTTTTAGTTTTTATTGCCGTCAGTTGCCACCTAATAGTTCTGTCTGCTGCAGAATAGAAAAAAAGAAGATGTGAAATAAATCAAAGTTTCTACGTCAACTAAATGTAACTGGGTAATTCTCCATTGTCCATCTGTCGATCTCTCACGCCACACAAATGTGAAAGATTTTTCCCAAGATTTTTTCCTAAAAAGGATTTGGAGTTGGAATGGAAAACGGGCAAGAAGTGAGATGTAAACAGACGGTGGGAGGAGATGAGAGTTGGTTTGACAAAGAGCAGACGCAGCATTTGTTTGCTCTCTATAAGGACTGGCTTCAGCTTCAGTTTACAACACACTGTGTGTGACTCTGCAGCGCTGCACAAAACACATTCACCTCTACGGAGTGTGAGTGTGTTTGTGTGTGTGTGAGAGAGAGAGTGTATCCAACGGTGCCTGTGTTTGTGTGTGTGAGAGAGAGAGTGTATCCCACGGTGCAATGGTGTATGACTAAACACTTCTAGTTTCCTTTCCCAGTGTGAATCCTGGGTCCTGTTTAGTTGAACATAACGCTACACTCACAGGGATTGAAGAAAGACACGTATGAAGATTTTCAACAGCAGCTCTGAGTCTCTCTCTTATTTTTTTTTTAGCTTTTTAGTTTTCCAGATCAATTAAGTAAAATTGGATAATTATCATGAGTGGACCTGATGATCACAGAGGTTTAGTGGTCATAGAAAAAACAGCTGAAACCAGTCGTTCAGTCCAGTCTTTTTTTAAATTTTTTTTTTAAACATCTGTAGAAACGGGCACCGTGGAGCAGTGTGGCCCTAGCTTTATCCTCCTCCTCTGTGAACCACGTTCACAGTTTTCTCAGTCTCATACTTCAAAGCCCACGGCCACAGATAACCAGCAGATAGTAGAACTTCAAAGAGAGTCGCATCAAAGACAAACTATTTCAAGTTCTGCTGCCAATGATGTAATAAAGCCAATAATGGACATGAAGTCAGAGAGACATGGCAGAAATGTTCAGTTCTGTCAGTTGCCAGGCAGTGATAGTAAATATACTGGGAAAAGAATGCTGGAATAATAAATTCCTCAGATAAGATGAGATAAGATGAGATGGTTGATCGGCAACTGGAGCCAAAAGACGATTCCTTTAAAAACAGAAGAAAAAAAGCTAACGCTTTCTTCGGTTTCTAATCGTAGTACCTCGTGAGGAAAAGTGCAATAACCCTTTAAACAAACATGTGATTGGCAGGTACCTGTCTCCCTGCCCCTGCCTGTGAATTATGGTTTCAGATAACAGTCATAATAAATTAGTAAAGTTAGTGACAGTGTTTACCGACTGATGTGATAATCCAGACGGAGGGAAATGTTTACAAAGTAAAAAAAGATCTGCTTCTTGTTTATATTATCAGAACCTGACGTCCAACATTTCTTAGTATGGATAATCCATGTGCTGCAGAGACAGGGACGGAGAGGGAAGTGTGTCCAGGACATATCTGGAAAGTATTGAGGCCAAAGGTCAAGGAAAACATCCATCTATTTGAGTGGGTGTATGTGGTATTGCAGCTGTGTGTGTGTGTGTGTGTGTGTGCACATCACTGTGGGAAAATATTATTTCAGAGTGAACAACAGCCATTGTGTTTATCACTTGTACAGTTTCTCTGAAAAAAAACACCTTTGTGTTTTGTTCTTTTTAACGTGAGGTCAAAAAAAAATCTGAACTGACCGTAGGTGTGAATGTGAGTGTGAACGTGAGTGTGAATGTGAATGGTTTTGGACCCTAAAAAGAACTCGATGATAGATAAAATAACATGGGAACATGGCTGACAGATATGTCTGCACACAACCCTGCAGGGGGCGCACATGTTGAGAAACAGTGGGATTACAGTTCACATGTGGTTTCTTCAAGCATACACTTGTCAACACAGTGCACAGATTGCTGCCTTCATTGTATAATGAACCAACAATTCTGGTTATTTCACACGCCACTTGTAACTACTCGTCATCCTGAGTTGGACACGTCTGTTCCATTGACGTGTGTGTTACACTGACGGAGACAGAACCTGAACCCCAGCTGCAGATAATTATCTGCCTATAGGGACATCCTCCAGATGTGAAATGTGTTCTCACAACTGCAGAGGAACTGATAGAGAATCCAGGGGCGTGGGCTGAGGCTTGACCCAGCCTGTAGTCCTCTCGGGTGGATTTATACCTCCTGGAAAAACGCAGCTCGAACCTGGACATTAGTACTTCCTGACAGCAGCTCCAGATCGTGATCACACAGGAGTCCCGCGGCTCCTCGTCCTGCTGTGTGTGCATCTGTGAACAGTCCCTCATGTCAACTCTCTTTGTTGCGTAACGGCACCTTCTTCAGTACGGACATCAATCACGTCACAGAGTTGTCCTTACCGCTAAGGACCATGGGGATTTGGCTGTATAACTCAGACACACGAGACTTCAAATACTCCTTGAGCACATACTTGGTTGGATTTCTAACTTTTTAGAAGTATTTTTACACACTTGAATTTCTGTGACTGCAGTAAAGAAAACTATTGTTTTTGTTTTTCCGTCACACATCAACAAACTGGTTCGTGCTCATTACAGGGACTGGAAATTTGAGTCTGACAATCGGACTCTAGTCGCACTTAAAATAAGACCTCAAACTTGAGGGGGGAATAGGGGAGGGGGTATTGGAGGGTCTTGGCTTGAGTAGAGCTAAGAACTGTCCCAGACATTGACTCTTAGGTCAGGGTAGGAACGTAGGTCGACTGGTAAATCATCAGCTTCGCCTTTGGACTCAGCTCCTTCTTACTGCACCACTCCATTCTCCCCTAACTTGTGAGCAAGAACCCCAATTACCCCCAACTCATCCACTTGGGCCAGGATCTCATTCCCGACCCATAGAGGGCACTCCACTCTTGTCAGGCTGAGCAGTGTGATCCCCTATAGTTGGAACACGCCCTCCGATCCCCGTTGTTGAAGAGGGTCACCACCACCATCCATCAATCGAGAGGCACTGCCCCCGATGGCCACACGATGCTACAAAGGCGTGTGACAGCTTTTAAAGGATCAGACACCCAACCCTCCGACTTTGGGCACTACCCAGCTCACACTGCACCATACCCCGTTGGCCCTTCCCACATGTGGACCAAAAACATCGATCTTTTTTGGTATTATAAGGCATTCTTCACCAGGTGGAGCCGTCTTTCGAGGCCAGGAACACAGGGCTTCTACCCTGACTATCTCAGAATCAGTTATGGCTGTGCCTCCGGGGTATTATGACCGTCCACGTACGGACTGGGGTCAGGGTGAACACGGTTCAGTCCAAACAAAGTCCAGCCTACAGTCAGGTTTAGGGTGTAATCTTTTTATTTCCACACGTCTTCATCCTTGAGCCAACTTTAAGGTTTGCGTTCATCAAAGCAGGAAATAATGTTTCTCAGAATGCTGCAGGGAATGTTGTTGCACTGGAAGCTGAACCGGAACACTCTCACATTTCGCCTGTGCACCAACAGGAAGCAGGGTAGGTCAGTTAGACCAACAGGCTCTCCGGTGTGACCTGGTGGGACCTGAGGAAAAAAATGTCAACTGCCTATTGTTAGTTTGAGGTCAACAGGTCAGAAAAACAATATGAAAAAAACAACAACAAAGCACTGAATTAATATTTTTCTTGTGCTCAACAACAACAGATTGACTGCTCACTACAGCAGCTCATATGAAAAAAAACATCTTGTTGGAGGTCGGTCGACACCCTTGAATTTGTGCCCAGAGGTGCAGATGTTGCTTTGGCTTTTACTCACAAAAGCACAGAAGGGTCCCCTCCTCCTCGGTGTATAGAGTTGATATCTGTTCTTTGCAAAACTGACAACTTGATTGCTGTCAAGAGACACACAATTTACCACAATGACATCTTTTTATTTCCTCATAAAGACTGAAAGATTTGAATAACGGAAAAATCCTGTTGAAGCGTAGAAGACATGGGTTAGACCACAACATGCACTAAATATACAAGGAGGGGAGGGTTTTAAGAGCACGCCTATTTTCTCCTCCTCTCTCTTTTCCTCTCCACAGCTCTTCTGTCCTCTCTGTCCTTCTCACAGGACGCACTCCTCCACTCCTCCACTGTGCGTAAAAGCGGCTAACAGAAAAATGAACTCTGTGGTGAAGTGGCTGCTCATCCTCCTCGCCCTCCTCTCCGTCGTTCTGAACATCATCCTGATCGGGATCTACTCCAAGAGGTCGCCCAAGTGTTCCAGCCAACGCGTGCACCCGCTGCGCGCCAAACACGATGATCGCAGCCTGGTGTTCGCGGACCTCAGTCAGGAGGAGTACATGCAGGTCCAGCAGTACATGCTCCGGCAGAAGGACCTGGACGTCTCCACCAACCAGATCACTCTGCCGTCTGAGAACTTCGTCTTCCTCATCGAGCTCTCTCTGCCCAAGAAAGCGGAGACACTTTTGTACCTGGACAGCGAGGGCCCGAAGCCGGTGAGAAAGGCCACCGTGGTGGTCTTCCACGGCGCACAGGGCTACATCAAGGAGTACGAGGTGTGGCCCCTCCCGGACCCCAAATACCACAAGGATATCACCATGGAGAAGTACGGGACCGAGCTGCCAATCAACGCCCGCCAAATCACCGTCGGAGAGTATGTGCAGCTCTTCAGCTTCTTTGAGATCCAGGTCTTCTCCAAACTGGAGAAACTCCTCAAGGAGAGCTTCGATTATGGACCGCACAAGAAACTGAAATTTTTTGAACAGATGCCGCGCGGAGTTCGATCTGGAGACAGAAATACGTGGGTGGCTTTTATGAAGGATGTCAGCGGCATCTACATCAACCCCTCTGGCTTCGAGGTGCTGGTCAACCACCAGAGTGTAAACTCGTCTGAGTGGAAGGTGGAGGGTTTGTTTTACAACGGCCAGTACTTCAGCACCGTGGAGGAGCTTCGACTGAAGTACGAGGCTGGTACTGTTAGGAAAATCGTCTACAAAGATTCTCCAAATCCGGGCTCTCTGAAGCCCAGGACCAAGCCTCTCCAAATTGGCCCACAGCTCTTTTACGCAGAGGGAAAACGCTTCAGTGTCAGTCAGAACCAGGTCCTGTACCTGGACTGGAGCTTTGCCTTCGGACTCAGCTCACTGACGGGCATGCGGGTGTTCGACGTGCGCTTTAAGGGTGAGAGGATCGTGTACGAGCTGAGCGTGCAGGAGGCCTTGTCTGTGTACGGATCCATGACGCCTGGGATGATCTTCACTAAATTCCTTGACTCCAGTATCGGTATCGGACGATTTGCGCACGAATTAGTGCGCGGCGTGGACTGCCCCCACGAGGCTGTTTATATAGACACGTATCGATACATCGACACAGCGGTTCCTGTCAGGTTTAGGAATTCAATCTGCATCTTTGAGCACAACATGGGTCAGCCGCTGCGCAGACATTTCTCCGACTTTTTCCATCACAGTTATGGAGGAATGGTGAACAGCGCCCTGGTGGTCAGGACCATCACTGCCATAGAGAACTACGACTACATGTGGGACTTTGTCTTCTACCAAAACGGTGCGGTGGAGGCCAAGGTGCACGCCACCGGATACATCAGCGCCACTTACCTGGTGGATGGCAGTCTGAAGTACGGACACAAGGTGGCGGACAAAGTCCTGGGCAACATTCACACACATTTCGTGAACTTCAAGGTGGACTTGGATGTGTCAGGTGAGTGAGTGCAGGGCGACACACACACAAACACAATCGTAATCTCAAAAGACTCTCCCCAAAATAAACACTAAATAACAATCAAATAAGTCAATAACAATGAGATTGAAATATATATAATAGTAATTTACTGTCTAATTAAATAATTGTTGACAATAAGTAGAGCCAAACAATATGGTCTAGATTTTCGATACTGTCCACAGAAGGTTTTGCAGAACACCACATGTGATTCAGATAAAGTATCCAAGTGGAACAGGAAGTCGTGGTGTGATAACAGGACTGTGTCAGTGAAAGCAGGTGTTTGTTGTTCCACGTGAATCCAGTGTGACTGAACAGCCTGTTGTTGTTTCCTGTTCTTTGTGTTGCAGGAGTTAAAAATGTCTTCCAGGCCAAAGACATGAAGTACGTGAATGTGTCGGTGCCTTGGTTACCCAATCACCACGCTATGATCCCACAGCTGGTGGAGACACAAATGAACACAGAGAAGGTGAGTTCAGGTCCCAGACTGTACGAAACAGTTGGACATTGTCCTCCACGGAGACCAGTTACAGCTCTGTGAAACAGGCCGGGTTGTTTAATGATGTTGTGTACAGTAACATTTTGCCGATATCCGATATCGTCCAAAAACTTAATTTCCAATTCCGATACCAAGTGATACCGATATACGCAGCTGTTCGATCCCAGAACTGAGGTAAACGTCTCAGGACCCTACAAGAAATTCCAGCATATTTGACAAAACCCAGGAATTGCGTTATCGGAAAAAAACCCCATTAACGAATTATACACCGTTATTGCATAATTACACTAATATCGGGCCGTTGAAATTGGTCGACCGATGTTACCGGACCTCCCTACTTACGACCATGTGAGTAGACCACGGCTGTTTGTCAACATTAACCCAGTCATGACCAGTGGAACACTGTGACCTTTTCTACAGGAGGCTGCCCTGCGGCACAACGCCAAGACCCCTCGCTACCTCCACATCGCCAGCAACAGGACCAACCGTTGGGGTCACCAGCGTTCTTACAGGCTGCAGGTGTACTCCTTTGCAGGAGACCACCTTCCAGAGAGCGAGGCTGAGGAGAAGGCCATGTCCTGGGCCAGGTGAGACCAATAATCAATGATCAATGATCACTAATCAATAATCAATGTTGTGTTAGATTAGTTTGTTTCTCTTCCATTTGGCCATTGTTGTCTCGGTCTGGACCTCTCTGAGCTTTAACTCAAAATTAAAAACTGAATGAATTATTTATAGTCATAAATATAGTTACTTCAAAGACACAAATGTATGTTGTTCGTTATTGTAAAGTTGACAGTGGTTTCCTCGGGGTTGAAGGATTCTGAAGACAACAATCTGCCAGAAAGATTTACAGGATAAATAAGAGCTCATGTGATGCAGAACATCTGGAGACGTCCACCATTTGGTGGGGACCAGATGTTGAACATCTGCTGCTGCTGAACCTGGGTCTTATGGTTCCCTCTAGGACCTGGTAGCCTGGGTGACTGCTGGCTTCCTCCACATCCCTCACGCTGAGGATATCCCCAACACGGTTACCGTGGGCAACGGAGGCGGGGTCCTGCTGAGGCCTCACAACTACTTTGATGAAGATCCATCGGTGAATTCCCCCGACGCCGTGTACTTTGAGCCTGGCAGTGAGGACAGCTGTGAAAACAACAGGATGGCCTGCCTTGCTCAAGAGACCTGCAGCCCCGTGCTGGAACCCTTCAGCTACCACGGCTTTGAGGGCGTGATGAAGTTTACTTGAACAAACTGAGAAGTGAGATCAGAAAAAGGTTCATCTGTGTCATTTATTACTAACAGCTAGATTTGTAATTGGTCTGGAGCGGTGGTTCTCAACCTGTCTGCACAACGTTCCACCTCTGAGGAAACATCTGACCATCTGGACACCACCAGACAATAGGATTATTTGACTAATTTGGGACCAGAGTGTTGTACAAGCAGTGAACTCCAGTCATATCAACACAACGGCAGGGAAACAAGTGAAAACGTTTGCCCCCTGACCCTTAAAAAAAGCCACACACACAGCCTCAGGTGCTTCACTTTTGCCCTCTGTGGTCAACGTAAGGTCATCAGTGCACTGTTTTTAACACTTTTGTTTTATTTACCTCTATTACGCATTTTAAAATCAATGCCCATATCATTGTTCATCAATAAGAGGAGACCAGAAGTACACATACCATAGTTTGAGAACCACTACTCTAGAGCTCTTTGACTACAGTGACATTCAAACACGGAAGAAGACGCTGGCAACACGGAGCGGAATCATGTTGTAGAGTAGATTTATAAACTGTATGTACACTGGATCCACTGTGAAAACCTGACTGGGCTGAAATAAACACACAAGAAGAAGAAGAAGAAGAAGAATGTGTTTGTCTTTGAATGAGCAGAGATCCAGGCTGACAGAGGTCTCTGCTAAAGATCAGGTGAGATTATGACAGAACAACTTTTGTCCTGTTTCTTGACGTTCAGTAGGCCGTTCAGAGGTCGTTGGATGTTCTCACCTCTGAAGGTCATTTCAACCTCTGTCAACTCATTCACGTCCATCAGATAAATTAAAGATGATTAAAATTTGTAATTCTGTTGGAAGGAATGAAGAATGAGTCACTAAAAAAAAAAAATCAGTGAGTGGTTGTTCTCGATAATCATAAACAACGTGAGTAGAGCACGTCCTGTGACCACTAGGTGGCACTGTGACAGTAACTCTCTAGCTCTTGATATGTCACATCAATTGTACTTAGTCCCGAGGACCATGGGGATTCGGGGGGAATGTCCTGTTTTTGTTCTCCTCCCAGACGGGGGTGTGTGGGGGGG